TCTAAGGTTCAATTAAAGTAACAATTCTGTGAAGCCTTCCTTCACTGTCCTTGGTTGTTAATTCTCTCTCCCTTTTTAAAATGCCTTGTAGTTACTTATCTATTACATGTTATATTCTCCCAGACCGCTTGTGCCACCTGGACTTAGCATGGCATACTATACACTTATTAAGCACATAGTGTTCAATAAATATTTGTTAATTTGTTGAAATGAATAAGAATTCTCTCTCAAGTGGTACAGCTGGCAACCTAATCATGCCTTCTTCTAAATGTATAAGATTTTTGTCCACATCCTCCTATAAATCTTCCACAAAAGATTTAGTCCATACACAATCTCCTTGTAAGTTGTTTTTTTTGTTTGTTTGTTTTAATATATGTGTGTCTGTGTGTATATATACACATATATTCCAAAGTTACTAATATAGTACTTGGGCTGTACATCACTCTCATTACACGAGTCCAATTCCTTTTTCCAATCACAGGATGAAATGTTATTCCACTTCTTGTACATGCATCACATTTAGTAATATGCTTCAATCTATTTACACCGCTATGCAGCTCTTCGTTGCCTTTAGGTTACCCACAATTTTGACTCTTCAAACCTGTAATGTGCCATGACTCAAAGCCATTTAACATCAGCAGCAGACCAGCATTGTTTAAAAAGATGGGTTTTGATGTTAAGGAGTAGCTTTGGATTTCATAATTTCCCAAATACAATCCTTGTCATTGTCTTCCTCCTATTCAATTCTGGACCCAGTTCAATTCCCTTCTTCCAATGCCTACATTGTTGGACTAAATGAAAGGACTTCACATCCAGCAGTATGTCAGAGTCTTCTATAAGAAATCTCTTTTCCACTTGGATTCTACACTCTCTATTATAAAGGTGAATATCTTTTGTGGGCATACATGTATTTTTTTGCTTCTGTTCACTATATGAGAGAGATAAGAATAGAGACTGGACCTATGATGTCACTGGCACAAGGAAATACCAAATATGGAAACTCTTCCAATGCAACTTATATTCTTAAAGTGTTGAGCAGAACAAAGTGACTGACCAAGAGTCACATAGCCAGTAAGTATCAAAAGGTAAAATTTGAACCCAGGTCTTCCTAATTCCAAGGACAGCTCTACATCCACTATGCTATGCTGTTTTACTGTTTAGAAGAGTAGTTGCTTTACAAGGTTTGCCATGAACTTCATTTCTGTTAAGTGCTTATTTTTTCCCTTTCCCTTCAGATAAAACTTTGGGTTTTTGATCCCATATCCAAAAGACAAGGCAGGCAGAGGAAATGGTATCACACAGTTATTTTAGCATAATAATGCTACAAATGATTCTTCCTATATTTTGCCACAGAGTATAAAAAGTAGAATTGCCATATCAGGGATGAACTATCAATACTTCTTTAATAGTGTCATCTTTTAGAATAGGAAAATTAGAAAAGAAACTATGTAAATGTTGCCTTTCATTTGTGTTCTTAGGGCATATGCCAAATTAATTTCCCATTATACTTTTGTTATATAAAGTTGTTACATGAATTGTCTTACAAGAAGATGCAGCTACATTCTAATTCTGATATTCAGCTCAATGTGGAACAAATATTCTCTCACCATTTCTTAATCTCACCTACATTAAAATTGATGATAATTCAACAATTTGCCACATTGTCCAAACATTTGGGGAGTGACTTGCCAAAAGATAAAGTCAGACTGGAAAGCTTCACATCTTCTTTTCTTTCAGACTCCTTATTAATTTAGGCTTACAAACATAAATCTATGAAAAGAAACTTCTCATTTTTGCTTCTTTGTATTGGATAAAATGATTTCATTTCCCATTTAGATTCTTTATCTTGGGCATCTCCAAACCCAAAGTTGTTTCTGTAATCTTAAGAGATAATACACACAAAGTGCTTAATAAATACTTTTTTCATTTATTTCATTCATTTGCTGAATGATTATCTATGGTTTGTAGAAACTTCTCAGTCTAAAATTCTATAACTTTTATGAAGATTTACATTTCTTATCTTAGATATAGACCATGCTCTTATGAACCATTCTTTTAATGCTTCCATCTTAAACTGGAAGCAATCTTTATAGAACTAACCATAGACAATATATGATTATAAAGTAATGCTATTGGAATTTTAGGAGAAGATAAAAATCAAAGTGATGTGGTACCTTTCCAAATATATCACCTCAGGAAGCTAAAAATGTTAGAATCCAAATTTTACCTTTGCTCATAATACTGTTAGAACTGCTTTCAGAGCCTATATCACATTCTTTCAAATATCCTTAGGTATAGCAACTCTTCATCATTTAAAAGTATTTTCTGAAACAGTCAATAGTCATTTGGAGCCATGTCTGGAAATAAAGTGAGTAATCAAGCCAGACAATACAATTTAGGGTCTTAAACTAAATGGGAAATTATAACCATCTTACCTCAGATGAGGAAGCAACTAAACTGAAGAGATAGTATGCTCTTCAGCACTGTCACAAAGAATGAAATAACTGAGGCAGAGTTCATTATTTTTGCATTGTAAAGAATTTCTCAGGGCGCCTCAGAATACTTCTATAATTCCTGGAACTCAAAGTATAGCAAAAGGATAGTGCTTAGTAGTTACTAGATGCTATGGGTCACACAAAATTACATGGTAAATTCTGTAAGGTGGTAATGTAAATGAAAGAGGTTACCACCAGGTTAGTAGAGTAAAAAGCAAGTAGGGAACTGAAGAGTGTGTTCAAATGTCAGATCCAGGCAACTAGGACCTAGTAGAAATTAGGCATGAATTAGGCTGACTTGAATGGAATGAATACAAAGAGAAAAGAACTAAAATGAACAAAACAGACAAAGAATGAAAACTACAATACATAAATCAGAAAAAATACTTCAGAGAAACTAGACCGAAGCACAGTTGTAAAGGAACAAGATTTGCCAATCTATAGCATAAATGTGCAAGTACCAGACAGCACTTTAGAGCAGAATATTACCTTAATCACAACCTAGCATAGACCACAGAGGATAAGACGAGGTAATCCATGTAAAGCTCTTTGCAAACCTTAAAGTTCTATATAAATGTTGGCAATTACTATTGTTACTACAATGGTTGCTGTTTCTAAATGAAATTCAAGTTCTTGACATTAAACGTAAACCTACAGAACTTGTACCTTAGTCACATGGATCCTTTCACTTACATAGAGAAATAACAAGTAAAATAGATAAAAAGTTACAGGGAAGAGTTCCTGAATTTTATCTTGAAGGAACTGAAGACAACGTGTGTTCCGTTAAAAAACATGATTGTGGGCATCTTTATAAAACATTCCCTCGGGAATTTCCAGTCTGTAGTTCTTTATGGCACAATAAAGAATATTTTTTATAATTGTCTTTATTTTAATAAACAGGGTCATCTCTACTTATTTGCACACATTTATTTCTTGCTTTGCATTTTTTTTTCATAATGGTATAACTGAGATTCATGAATGATAAGATAATGACAATAACATCAAATAATTGAAAATTAAAGCAATAAATATACTAATTAAGAGACTAAGGCTCTGGCTCTGGCTTAGCCCCTTTTCAATTTAAATTAGCAAACATTTGTTAAGTACCTATCATATACAAAGTGAGAGGCAGGATCACATAGCAGATGGAAAGCTGGACTAGGACCAGAGTTTGGTTTTGCCTCTAACAAATACTATATGATCCTCAACAGATCACTTAACCTCTCTTGGCCTCAAACAGCTCTCTAAGATGGTAAGTTACAAAAGACTGGCTGATTTGCATTGATGAAGAAGTTTCTCCACTAGAATTCCTCCACACTGACATATTCCAAACTTTAAAAAATATGTGCATGATACTATGCTAAGCACTAGGGATTTAAAAATAATTCCTACCCTCGAGGAGTTTAGGCATATCATCTTTGCATTTCCCTTACTTCATTATTTAATTCAGCTGTGTTCCATGTATTATCCATCCCTTGCTCTCACTATGTAACTAACCCACCTCCTCATTTCTCAATCATACATATCCTGAATGATATTCCTCACACCACATCTTGTGCACAGGCCATCAACAGAAATATGCTGTAGTCTGCTTGCACCCACTATGAATCTCACCAAAAGTTTTTGCCATTGTCATGGAGAATGTCCCGCACAGAGTCAAATGGAAGAGAGATTTCCAAACGATCAGTGTTTCACGAAGGTATAATATGAAATACTGAAGTTATTGAAAATAAAAATTCATGAATAATTGTGTTTCGTATAAAGCACACTTAACATATGTCATATAAGTATAATATTCATAAAATAAATACAATTTGTTTGTTACATGTATGTACTAACATCAGAATATGCCAGATCTTGAATTCAGAAATAATTCAACAAAAATTGCTGCTCAATTTGAAAACTGTACATGCAAGATTCTCCCAACTCTTATAGTGTTATCAACTTAAACATTTACTGGGCCTTGATTCCTCATGGCAAAGAATACTGTGCTGCCAGAAAAAAAAGAATTGAGAATCAGAACTCTAGATGATGAGGTCCTCCAGGTGATACTGCTTTTTTTTGCATCAAGCCTTAAAACATTTCCAGACCTCCTCAATAAGAACCATGATACTTAAAAAAGAATAGACTAATAATATAAGGAATGAAAGGCTAAAAGGATAAAAATGTCTATTGTCTAGTCTATGACATGGTGCTGGAAGGCCAGTTCACTGAGGTAGTGTGCATCATTACATATTTTAGGGACAAGAAGCGAAGATAAACAGTGAATCTTCTCTTTCCTTCTTCCTAAATTTTAATGATTGGCTTCAAAAAGCAATACTTGTAAGTTTGTTCTGCATTACTTTTTCTGTACCGTTGCTTCCACATTTATAAAAGATGAGTCTCTAAGGTTCTTATAATATTAATATTTTATGTTCTATGAAAATTAAATGCCTCACAATCCAAGTCACAGTATCAAAAAATGAAACATTCTCATTTAATATATTATAAAGGATGTTACATTACCAGAAGAGATGCTGGCAAATCTTTAAAACTCTTTCCAAATTCCTCATCTTGAAATTTTGTTATATTATCATCCTGATGGACCTGAGAAACTTTTCCAGCTCGTACTAAACTGGTGCCTACAAATGAACAAATTTGACATAATAGACAAGTTGGACAACCTCCGTGATTTCTACAATTAACATATCTTAATACAGGGTCTAATTTTTCTTTACTAATAAGTTAGTAATATGGAAACCTAAATCATAAAAACTAATAATAATAACTAAAACTTATATAGCACTATAAGGTTTGCAAAGCACTTTACGTATATTATCTTATTTGACTCTCACAACAACCTGAGAGAAATGATTATTAATAACCAATGATCTGGGGAGATCCAGAATTATCCCCTTTTTCAAAAGTCCTGATTTCAAAAGTTCACTTTCTTGAAGTATATTACTGAAATTGAGATTGGAGTAACTTTCTTGTTCAGACCCCACCTAGGTAGGGAAGCCACTGTGCTCTACTCAGGTTTGGGTGGGAATAAATTCTTTGAATAGACTGCCCAAGGCTGGAAGTAACTTAGAAGTAAATGACATAATCAAAGTTCATTTGAATAAGTTTAGTCCCTCATTTTAATATTCATTCTCTCATTAATCATTAACCAATCAGAATTGATTGCCACCTTGGGAATACCCCTCTTCCAGTGAGCACATATGCCGTTAACCCACTGCCATCATTGTCTTTAGTCTAAGGGAGACAGCCAAATTACTATCTTTTTATTAATAAACATGTTGGCATTACTAATAAATGATTAAATTACCCAGAAATTATGTCTTTCAAACTTTTTAAACTTCATAAACCCTATAAAATAGATGCTATTATTATCCCTATTTTATAGATGAGGAAACTGAGACTGAGAGAGGTTAAGTAACTAGCCCAGGGTCACACAGCTATTAAGTATTTGAGGAAGGACTGAGGTTCAGGTCTTCCTCACTCCATTATGCCACTTATGTGCCTTAAATAAGGGGAAGTTCATGACAGTGTTATGTGTTTAAAGAGATATACCCTCTAGTAGCCTCCCTTTTTTCCTTTAAATGTTTTTACACAAGCACAGGATTAAAGATTTAGAGGAGGAAGGAACTTTGGATTCAATTTCTCCTCTATTTTACAGATTTAGAGCTGGATTTAGATAGCTTAGAGGTTATTAAATCCAATCTGTTCATTTTACAGATGAGGAAAATGAGGCCCTGAGAGTTTAAGGGACTTGCCAAGGGTAACACTCTCGATCCATTGCACTACTCAGCTGCCTCAACACTTTTTTTTTAAATGACTTTTGATGAAAATAAAGTCAATGAAAGGAGATGTACTTAGCAGTGTATGGCTTTGCAATTAAAATGTTGTTCTTATAGACTATGCTCATGTAATAAAGCCTAAGAAACTCATAAGCTCTGTAAACATTCAAAAGTATAAGATTCATCTGCCATTCAAAGATTTTCACAGCAGCCTTGTATGTAATTGCAAAAGACTAAAAACAATCTTACCAACTAACAATAGGGAAAGAGTGAAATAAATTGTGGTACATTCGTGTAATGGAATAATATGACACCAGTTATAAGACATGAAGGAAACTGGAAAAGGCTTTATGAAATAATACAAAAGACAAAGAGCAGAACCAAAAGAATGAGGTAGACATTATGACATATATGAATAAAAATTATTAAAAAGTAATGAAAACAAAAAAAAAACTGATGGAAAGTGAGAAAAGCAAATGGATGGAATTCAGCTCTAGAAAGATGATGATGCTTCTTATCCAAAACAAGCAAATGGGATAAAAGTGTATTTGCATTACATAATAAAAATAATCCTTGTGTAAAAATTTCAGAAAAAAAAAGGAAAAGAAAAGTAGAATACATTTGGGTTACAAATCAATGGAGGGAGAAAAATAAATGAAATTGTTATATTAATTCTAACTTCAAAAAGTGCAAGAAGAGCCAAAGCAAATGCTATTCTGGACCTATTCTGATCAACAAGGATGTTCTCTCAAGGACTTACCCTCAAGAAACTTACCTTCTATAAGAGGAGACTACACACACACACACACACACGGGTATATGTATGTATATACACATATGTATGTGTGTATGTATATGTATATACAGAATACATATAAAAGAAATACAAGATAAAATGGTGGGAATACAAGGTGGCTAGTAGAATCAGGAAAGGTTTTATGTAGAAGGTGGCACTTGAACAGAGTTTTGAAGGAAGTCATGGATTATAAGAGACAGAAGTATCAGGGGAGTACACTCCAGGTACAGTGAACATCCAGGACAAAGGCAAGTAGTTGGCAGGGAGAGTGTCACACATGAGAAATAACAAGGCCAATTGGGCTAGACTATAGTCCAGCTGCTGGGAATCATAAGATGAGAAACTTAGAACTGTCTTAGCTTCAATAATGGCCAGAATAAACTGGGGCTAGTTGGGAAAATTAAAAAAAATTTTTTTTTCATTTATCTTAGGGTCAACGGGAAGATAATAATGGATGATTAAGAAGAAAACAAAACTACTCAATTCTTGTTTTATTTGTTTCCTCGGTCAAGAAAAATTATTTTAGGACAGAACAAAATTGGCTAACAATTAGAGCTGAAACCAAACGTAAGTAATGCAAGTAAGTAAAAGCTACTCTTAAAGAGCTCAAATCACCTGGCCTGAATGTAAAGATCTTAAAAGACTGTGAAAAATGGGATTAGAAAAAAATTAAATATCTGGATTTTTTTAAGGGAAGTGAGGGACGGAGGTGAAGGGGAGGGAGAATATACAAAGTATATATAGGCTTAATTTTGATTCCAGGAAGAATTCTAGAATGTAAGAAATAGTTAGCGAAAGTCTAGAAAAGAAGATAGTGATCACAGAGAACTAGCACAACTTCATCAAGAATGTATCATGATAAGTTAACCTCCTTTCCTTTCTGGATAGGGGAACTACACTGGTACATTAGGGGAATGTGATAAATACATTTAACAGTCTTTCATGAATGTTACTATAAACTTGGTAAGAGAAAGGAGGACTAGACAATAGAAAAAAATAGTACAGTTTGTTATATTCAGAAATGGTTGAATCAGAGTACTCATTAAAGGGCTGGTAACAATTTAGATAAAGGGCTTTACTGACTTCCCCCAAGAAGCTTCCTTCTCCCCATGCAGTTTAACATCTAAATTAATGATTTAGCTAAAAACATAGATGATATGTTTTTAAATATGCAGGTGACACAAAGCTGTGAGGGATAGCGAATTTGTTGGAAGACAGAATCTGGATCCAAAATGGTATAAGTAGGTTAGAATCCTGGTTGGAACAAAATAACACAAAATTTAATAAGGTTAAGTTAAAAAAAAATCAACACTGGAGGTACAAGATTGGGAAAGCATGGCTAGGCATAGTTAAGTGAAAATGACAAAGTTTTAATGAACAACAAGCCCAATTTCAGTGAAAAGTATGATATGACAATCAAAAAAGGCAAGATCATCTTAGGCTGCAGTAAGAATGAGGGATGTGACATTCGTTGTTCTATGCCACAGTCAGATTATATTCAGAGTATTGTGTTCTCTATGGATGTGACATTTTAACAAAGATAACTTACAAAGCACCCAATGAAGGGCAACCTGTAAATGGTGAAGAGATTCAAGATCATGAAATATTAGGATTAGTTGAAGGATTTGGGGTTTTTACCTAAAAAAGGGAGATTTTTATGGAGTACTGTCTTCATGCAATTGAAGAGCCATCATGTTGGAGAAGTATTACATTTATTCTGCTAGGTTCCAAATAGTTCAGATCACAGAATCTCACATTTGATTAACTTTAACAAGCATTTATTAAGTACCTCCTATGTACAAAGTACTGTGCTAGATGCTCAGGACACCAATAGAAAACAACAAAATCTGTGACTTCTAGGATATAAGTAAAAAACTAAAAATCATTTGAGGAAAAAGAAAGGACAAACAATAGAGGACATTAAGAAAGCACCATGTGGGGGACAAACTTGAGCTGAACGGTAAAGGTCATTGAGAATTCTAATAGGGGAAGGTGAAAGAGGTCATGAGTTACAGACATAGGACAAAAAGATGTACAAAGACAAAGAGCTGGAAGATGAATTTCTGCCTTTGGGGAACAAAAAATAACATGGTTTGGATGGAACATGGAATATGTGAAGGAGAACACTGTGAAATGCATGAAAAGACTGGCTGAGACAAGAGTGTGAAGGGGTTTGAATGCCAGCTTGGGAAGTTTGTGGTTTAATCTAAAGGAAATAGGGAACCACAGAAAACAATGAGGCAAGAGAGTGACATAGTCATATTATCCTGACAGTTGTGTGGAAAACAGATTTTTAGAGAAAGGAGAGTTTAGAAGTAGAAAGCCCAATGGGAAGACTATTCCAATAGTACATGTGAAAGACGATGAAGGACTAAATTAGAGTAGTGGTTGTTAAGTGGAAAAATAGGTATGGATGCCAGTAATGTTGCAGAGAAAGAAGTGACAAGATTTGGAAGCTGAGTAGTTTTCAGGAGTCAGACAAGAAAGACTCAAACATGACTTTGCAGTTTCAGCTGGAATACATCTGGAAGGTACCCTCAGAAGGAATATAGAGGGTCAGATGAGGGGCACATTTAGGGAAAAAAGAAGTTGCTTTGGATTTACTGAATTTGAAATGTGGGATACACAGGTAGAGATGGCCAGTAGGCAGAAAAAGTTAACAAATCTATGGCTGTGGCAGAGGAATTAAACAAAATAAGAAAATTTAGGAAGAGTACTATAAAGCCAGATACCACCAAAAAATAGCTTTTTACTCAGTCTTCTTACAGAATTATGGGCTAATCATGCAGAAAAGATATACTTCTAGATATCTGCTCTATGGAAACATATCCCCAAATAGATTATGATTTAGGCCAATAGGACCTATTTTGTTCTAATAAATTAAGGGCACATTAATCTGAAATAAAAAATTGTGGCAATGACAACTGTTATTTTACTGAAATTTATTTAGTCAATAAACTGTACTGTTATGATGTGATTATACGAAATTTATTTGAATTATAAAATAATTGCACGTTATTTTATTTTATCCAAAGAGCTATTCCATGAATGCAAAGTAGATTATTTTTGAATAATGCAAAGCAGATTTTTTTCAAACCAGTTGTTAACTGAAATTGGATTATTACTGGAGTAATATTTCTACCCTCTAGGAATAAAGCAACAAGTCTAATGGTGACAATGAAAAACAAAAACAACTAGTCAAGCAAGTCTTAGATTTTAGTACCTACTCTTAAGAATGAGGTTTATTTTAAGAAATTATCTTTTTAACATTTACCTGGTAAATGCTTTGGAAAGCAAGAAAAAGGTATAATCATAGACCATCCCAGGAAGCAGGAAATAAGAAATCCTATCCACCATGCACCCAGCCAGCGTGGATCATCTTCAGTGATGTCAATGCTTAAACAAGAAAACAAAAAGATTCAAATCTAGTTTCTTATTACAAACACACACAGAAATACTTTTCTACTTTGATATTATAAGGCAGAGGCCATATCCTCGATTACCTTTTTATCTCCTCAGCGCCTAGCTGAGGGTTTTATACACAGCAGTAGTTATTTAACAAATGATTGCTGAATGGATGCTTAGACAGACAGAAATTCCTTCTGAGACAGAACAGCATCAATTAATCAATCAATAAGCATATATTAAGGTACTAGGGAAACAAATACAAACAAATTATCTTGGCCCTTGGGAGTTTATCCTTGTTTCACATAGTAGACAAACTCATAGGTACTTTGTGTAATATTTTGTCATGTAAGAATCTAGTTTATATTATAATTACCAAAATAAAGCTCTCTGTCTTTTTCGTCCCTAATGCAGCCATCTCTTTAAAACATACCAGTATTCAAACTGGGGTAGCTTTCATAGAAAGTAGTTTGAAGCAAAAATATTAAAATATCTACAGATGAAATCCCACTATAACCAAGTTCATGGAAAATGGAGATTATTTTGTCATGGAGCTCTTATAATGTATATATTCAATCACTGAAATCAAATTCTCAAGATCTGAAAATGATATAGGGTTTAAGACCTGTATCTTTATAGCAAAATAACTGCAAAATAGTGCTCTGAAAAGAGAAATGTGGCATGTAAGTTGTCTTTTATTCCTTCCCTGCACTTAGTACTTTTGTGTTTATTTGGAAGAATTTTTTGGTGAGTGTTTTTTTTTTAATTCAAATGGGTTTCTATGACTGGGGTTTGTGGGAGGGAACTGAAATATTTCAAATCAAAAGGCAATGGAGAAGAGGATTTACAGAGGAAAGAGGAATTATTCATCAAAAATCTGTCCAAATTAGGGTAAAGGGTCCAAATATAACTTCACAAGATCCTTTCCCCTTCTAGTCCTAAAAAAAAGTACAAATGACATATTGCTCTCCCATAATTTGGTTTCCAAAAAAATCAATACCTAATAAGCACTGCATAGGGAAAGCATGAGTCAACAACTTATTACTGTAATGATCAATTTTGTTCCTGGGCAACAGATGATGAAACATACTTCTCTCATCTTAGAAGAGAGGCAGGGTACTACAAGGTGCTATACACCATCAGATGTCATCAATGTATTTGGTTGGTTTAGCTTAACTCTTTTTCTTTGTTACAATGGAGGGTTCAAGTGGGAATGTCATAACATGAGGGTTACGACTGTAGTACAAAAACAAATTTTTTAAAAATTGGCACCTTTAGTAGATTGAAAGTTCAATATGAATGAGTGTGTGACTTCAAAAAGTTAATGCTATGGAGAAGCATATTCATAACAAGGAAGTTGACAATTTTGCTGAACTCAACTCTGCCCTGCTCAGACCACATTTGGAACAAGCTGAAATATGTCTAAAGGAAATCTTCCAAGATGATGAAAAGACTGGAGAACATTCCATACAGAGATTGGTGGAAGACTTAGGGGGACCCGATAGCTAAAAGATGGCTTAAATTTGTTCTGCTTGCCCCCAAAAGGCAGAATTAGAAGCAATGGATGGAAGTTACGTGGAAGATGCAAGGGAAATTACAATTAAAATTACAATATGGAATCACAACAAAAAATTACAAAAATGGAATGTATTGCTTTTTCTCTTCCATAGAGGTCTTCAAAAACAGCAGATATCCACTTGCCAAGTATTTTGTGGAGAGAATTTTAGGGCACACAGATTGGACTAGATGGTATCTTAGGAGCCTAAATTCATGATTCTGTGAATCTGGATCCCTTTTTAGACTACTGAAAAATGGCTACAGATCAGGGTTCTAAGAAAAAAAACCATCAAAGTGTGCATTTCAATATAGTCTACCAAGGAACACCACTGTGACTAGCCTCCTCCACCCCTCCATGTTGTATAGGCACATTTTTGCTCCATTTTGAGCAATCACCTTGAGTGATAGTCCCCTGGTGATGGGTCGGTTCCTTGTGTCCCCATGTCAGCAAAACTGAAGAACAAGTATTATTTACCCTTGCAAGGCAGAAGGGGAGAAGGGGGACTCTGTCTTGGGAAGTGCCCCTGTAAGCCACTCTAGAGAGGTTAGCTTGAATGGTAAGGAGCAAAGAGATATTGTTGATGTTATTCCCTTATACTGGTCAATGTTCTGTAGATGCAAAGCAATCAAGCCTGAGGAAAGAGGGAAGAAAACGGTAGAACTTGTGTGGTAGTGAAGCAAAATAGTTGCGATGGTGTTGGGTAGCTGGGTGTTTTCATTTTTTCATGTGTTTCTGTCTGCCCTGTTGTTTCACTGCCCGCCCCAGGAAGGCTATCAATAAACTGTATCTACAGCTAGGTGGCGCACTGGATAGAGCACCAGCCTTGGATTCAGGCAGACCTGAGTTCAAACCTGACCTCAGACACATAACACTTACTAGCTGTGTGACCCTGGGAAAGTCACTTAACCCCATTGCCTAGACAAAACAAAAAAGACAAAAAAAACCCCCAAAAACCATATCTTATGTTGTCCGTATCTGGGGTCCTACTGACAAGCTGCTTTCAAGAGTCCACCTATGATAATTGCGCAGCAAAATATAAGTACTTGCTAAAGCTACTCCCTTTCTTTTTGCCTAGCAAGAGTATGAATTATACATTATTGAGAAAATTGGTGACCCTATGTCTTAAGTAGAGATTAGGATCTGAGAGGTAACACCACCAGGGGTATATTGATCAAGTGGTACAAAAATCTAGAGAATGTTTCAGGAATTTTTTTTTTTAAGAACAGATAAACTAGGAGAAAATGGGAGGGAGGGTGACAGAACTTCTCTCATATAACTGCAGTCTACAAGAAAAAGTATATACAAATGTGGATGGAGTGGAGGGAGTAGGCATCACACAAATGTAATTTTCGTTTAAACTGCTCAAAGTGGTAACAGAACACACATATACACAAATACATACAAAGGTAGCTAGATAGTGCAATGGACAGAGAACTGGATTTGGAATCAAAAGACTTTCGTCAGTTAATAAAAATTTATTAAGCATCTACTGTGCATAAGGCACTACTATCTGTTGGAGATACAAAAAAGAGCTAAAAGATAGATCCTGATCTCAGGAAGCTCACAGCCTACTGGGAGAGACAGCATGCAAATAAGCCATGTACCAAAAAGCTTTATGTACAACAAATTGGAAATAATCATAGGAAGAGCATTAGAATTGAGGAGAATTAGGAAAGGCTTCCTGTAGAAGGTAGGATTTCAGCTGGAATGCGGAGGAATCCAGGAGGCAGAGATGAAGAGGGAAAGCATTTCAGGCATGGGGGATAGCCACTGAATCATAGCAAAAAAAATTAAACACCAAAACAGAAATTCTGAAGATCAAGGAATAAATGAACAAAAGAATGGACAAAAACATTGAACTAATCAATAAAACTAGGAGCTTGGTGGTGATGGGGAGCTGGGGGACAGTGTGAGGGGATAAAATAGATAAATCATTAGGTAGTTTCTCTCTTCTTTTTAATCTAAGTTATCAGTAATAAAAATTTAAAAGAAGTCACAATGCAAGAAGAAATAAAGGATATTAATTAAAACTATTTTGTACAATTTATATGCCATGAAACCAACTTATTTGAAATAATGATAAAAATACAAAGTACAAAGATTAATAGAGCAAGAAACAGAGAATATAAACAACCCAATCTAAGACGAAGAAATCAAACAAGCCATAAATAGACTTTCAAAGACAAAAACAAAAACTAGGAACAAAGGGATTCACAAGTGAATTCACTGAAGTATTCAAATAAAATTTAATTCCAATATTATACAAACTATTTGCAAAAACAGTAAAAGAATGGATCCTTTCGAATTCCTTTTGAGAAAAATATAGCCTGGATATACAAAAAAGGGAGAGTCAAAACAAAAAAAGAATATATTACTAATCACATTGATATAAAAATTTAAAATAAATTATCAAACTGGCTGAAATAACATATTTCTAAGATTATTATACACTATGACTTAGATTTAGGTTGCTTTAATATTAATAAAATTATAAACTTAATTAACCATGTTAATAACAAAATGCCCCAAAACTGTATGATTATATCAATAGCTGCGAAAAAAAGCTTTTGACAAAGTGCAATACCAATTTCTGTTAAAATTTTTTAAAAATAGGAATAAATGGACCTTTCCTTTAACATAATAGTGTATATATGAAACCAAGATCTAGCATTATATGCTACAGGAGAAACTAGAATGCTTTCCAATAAAATCAGACGTAAAGCAACAATGTTCATTGTCGCTACTTTTGTTTGACATAGTATTAGAAATGCTGGCTATAACAATAAGACATACAAAGTTGAGGGAATAAGCACTGACAATGAAGAAATTAAATTATCACTTTTGTAAATTAAGTGATGTACTTAAAGAACTTTAAAGAGACAACTATAATTAATTGGAATAACTAATAATTTCAGTAAAGTTGCAGGATAAAACATAAATCCACACAAATCATCATCATTTCTTTATAATACCAATAAAACCCAGCAGGGAGAGATGGAGAAATTCCATCTAAAATAACTAGAGATTGCATAAAATACTTGGCAATATATCTATCAAGATACATACAAATGCTATATGAATACTACTAAAAGAGAACTAAATAATTAGAGAAATATTAATTCCTTGAGGGTAGGATGTGTTAATATAATAAAATGACAATATGACCCAAATTAATTTACTTATTCAGTACCACACCAAGTAAACTACCAAGGAATACTTTATAGACACAGAAAAAATAAAAATGAATTCACATGGAGGCACAAAATGTCAAGAATCTCAAAGAAAATAATGAAAAAGTAATCATGAAGACCTAGGAATAGCAGATCTCAAACTATATATACTACAAAGAAGTAAGTATCCAAACAATTTGATACTTGTTTAAACATAAAGTTCTATCAGTGTGATAGATTAGGCACAAAATACACAAAAGCAA